TTGTCAGAGATGCATATTGCGACTATTTTCTCCTAGTCTGTCGTTGGCCTTTTAGCTTTCTTTCTTTCTTTCTTTCTTCTTTCTTTTTCTTTCTTTCTTTCTTTCTTTCTTTCTTTCTTCTTCTTCTTCTTCTTTCTTTCTTTTTCTTTTTCTTTCTTCTTCTCTCTCTCTTTCTCTTCTCTCTCTCTCTTCTCTCTCTTCTTTTCTTTCTTTCTCTTCTTTTGAGACAGAGTCTCACTCTGTTGCTCGGGCTAGAGCGCCGTGGCGTCAGCCTAGCTCACAGCAACCTCAAACTCCTGGGCTCAAGTAATCCTCCTGCCTCAGCCTCCCAAGTAGCTGGGACTACAGGCATGCGCCACCATGCCCGGCTGATTTTTTCTGTATATTTTTAGTTGTCTGGCTAATTTCTTTCTGTTTTTAGTAGAGACGGGGTCTCGCTCTTGCTCAGGCTGGTTTGGAACTCATGACCTCAAGCAATCCTCCTGCCTTGGCTTCCCAGAGTGCTAGGATTATGCCCAGCCTTCGTTTAACTTTTGTTGACCTCATCCATTCCATGTTCCTTTTTCTCTCTGTTCTCGCCTTACGTTTGCTGGATTATTTTTCTCTCATTTCAGTTTCTCCTCCTTCTGGTTTGGAGGTTACTGTTTCTGATCTGTTAGTGGCTGCCCTGGAATGCCTACTTGCACGCTTAACTTACCCAAGTCTAAAGTAAGGAGGATCACACTTACACCCACCCAGAAAATACGAGGCTCGGAAACTGAAGCCCCCACTGGCGACTCACCGCTATTGTTGTCAGACGGTTTAACAATGTTATTTAAAACTCTGCCAGACGCTGTTCTCACTGCGCTCGTGCGTGGTTTTCCGGACTTCCTCGCACACACTCCTCTCCGCCCCGTCTCCGCATGTGCCTTAGACCTTGTGCGGAATCACCTTTGTTCTGCTTGGGGCAGTGTCCCAGAGGGAGGATGGGCTTTCGGTCTGCAGATGTCTTTTCCACAGCCCTGGGCGACAGAGCGTCTCTGCGGGGGAGTCCAGGGAGGAGCCACTTTCTTCTGCACGTCAAAGGTGCCCTTCCCCCTCTCCCAGGCGAGCGTCTGTCTCACCCACCGCTGCCTTCAACGCAGCTTTAGTGCCCTACGTCTGGGTGTGCAGTTTTGATTTTATTCATTTAACTGGGAATTGTTTGGACGTCTCTGACCTCCAGGTAGGCATCATTCGTCAGTTATAGGGTCTCTCTCTCTCTTTTTTTTTTTTTTTTTTTTTAGACAGAGTCTTACTCTGTTGCCCAGGCTAGAGTGCCGTGGTGTCAGCCTAGCTCACAGCAACCTCCAACTCCTGGGCTCAAGCGATCCTCCTGCCTCAGCCTCCTGAGTGGCTAGGACTACAGGCATGTGACACCATGCCTGGCTAATTTTTTCTGTATATTTTTAGTTGTCTAGCTAATTTCTATTTTTTTAGTTGCTCAGGCTGGTCTCAAACTCTTGAGCTCATAGGATCCACCTGCCTCGGCCACCCAGAGTGCTAGGATTACAGGCCACCACGCCGGCCATAGGGTCTCTATTTAAACACCACCCCCGCACTCCGATCTGCCTCCTGCTCTGGCAGCTCAGGCTGAATGTTGCTAAACCCTCCGGCTGTCTCCCCATGGCTTTGCGTCTCCCACGGATCAGCTTGACTGACTTGGTTCCCGGCGCCGCATTCCGGAAACGACTCCTCGCCTGTCTGCAGCTCACTCTAGAACACTCGCCATCCATGGACGTCGTGGTTCCAGTCGCTATAGCTTGCATTTGTAGACGTCTAGTTGTTAATACAATTATTTGGTCATTCTTTATAGCTCCTTTTCTGTGCCTATAACTTCTAAATGGTGTCTGGAATCCTGTGGCGAGCTCACGATGTCTAATGCTGCCTGGTAATGCTGACCATCGGAGTCTTTGTGCCCCGCCGGAGCCACTCTCTCACATCTTACTGCCGTGTCTCCCCGAAAACAAGACAGGCTCTTATATTTATTTTTCCTCAAGAAGACACCCTAGGGCTTATTTTCAGGGGATGTGTTATTTTTTTAAGTATGGTACAACAATCTACATTTATCCAAATAGAGTTAAGTCGTCTTCTTCTGGAACATCACCCTAACTCTCCAAACCCCGAATTCCATCTGAATAACTTGCGACTCTATTTCCTTTAGCATCATCGGCCCTGATCTCTCATGTCGAGCCCTAGAGCTCTCACGGGGCAGGTGAGAAGGGCTGCTCGTCTTCTTTCCTGCTCTGCCACGAAATGCATGGGTTGTGCAGATGCGCTACGCAGCCACGCCCATCACTAGGGCTTATTTTCGGGGTGGGGCTTCTATTGCGCAAATGCTTAGAAATCCTGCTAGGGCTTATTTTATGGGTAGGTCTTATTTTCGGGGAAACATGGTATGAACTGCTCATTTTCTTTAACAACTGGCCGTGCAGATTCTTTGCGTTCCCTCTGCTGGGCCCCCAGGCCCCACCCTAAACCCACAGCCCAGTGCCCTGGGTGGGGCCCCCAAGCCCACCCCGCCCTACAAGGCTGGTCGGCAATTTCCTCCCAGGCCCCCGGGGGCGGGGCAGGTGGGGCAGGTGTGTTTGGATTCCCTTGCACTGAGGGTGTGCCCCTTGGGAGTTGCTGCTTTACTGGGGGGTCTCTTACCCCTCCTGGGGATGGTCTCCTGTCCCCACTGGCCAGGAGGCCTGGGGCCCGGAGCTGCAGGTGGGCCTGGGTGGCAAAGCCTCAGAGCAGGGGGGCTTCCAGGCTCTGGTCCTTTTGGGGCTCCATCTCTCAGGGGCCAGTCTTCCCCTGGCTCGGACCTGATCGTTTTTGACTATTTTGCCAGCTTTTTGTTGTTTTTAAGAAATGCTTGTCCTATTTTATGCCCCATTTGGGTGTTTTCCTAGGAGGTTTGATCTAGACCCCAGCCCCACCCATGCTAACTTCAGTGCCTCTGCCCACGTCTGCCCCCCCCCACTGCTGGGGCCAGGGGCCAGGCCCCCCCACCTGCTCCCTCCGAGGGTCCAGGCCCCTCACCACTGGTGTGGACAGCTGGCGGGAGCTCTGTTCATCCAGCACAGACTCAGGGCAGGACTCCGCCACGGACACCTCTTCCTCTCCCCTCTTCCGTGGCAGCCTATTTCCTGTTCCAGGCTCCAGGAAGCCGTGGACTGCTCTGCTTAGGTGCTGGGACCCCACCCCAGCCAGACCCCCCACCCCAGGGAAGTGACTCAGCCTGGGAGTTTGCAGTGGGGGTTCCAGCAGGTGGGGTGGCCTGGCCTACAGGCTTGGGAGAGTGCCCCGCCTGGGGGCTGGGAGAGAGTGCCCCGCCTGGGGGCTGGGAGAGCCCAGGAAGGCACCCACTCCCTCCTCTGCCCTGGGACCTCCTGTCCCTGCCCTGGCCATCCTTCTGAGCCTGGGCAGCCTGGGGGCTGACTCACGCACCCCAGCACGTAGGGGGTGCAGGCTCACCCCACTCCCTGGGGAGGGCTGGCCAGAGACCCAGGACAGCTGCAGGGTGAAGGCTGGGAAAGGACACGAGGCAGCACCTGTCGGGCTTGCCTCACCTGGGATGCTCCCAGGAGCCACGTGAAGGTCCTCGTGAAGCAGCAGCTGTCACACGTGGGGGGCGGCCCTCCGGTGGTCAGCCTCTCCCATCACTGCGGCCAGCCGAGAGCCCAAGTAGGAGAGGACACAGCGGGACCACACGGATGCCCGGCCTGTGGCCGGCTCTGTCCAGCAGCGTCTGGGGCTGCAGCAGCGCCAGGCCCTGGGTGACGCCTGACCACAGGCTGGGGGCTGTGGTCTCACAGCTCCACCAGGAACCCCCAAACCAGGCCCACCTCCAAGGCATCCACGAGCGGGTGGCCAGCAGGGGTGTCCCCTCACACAGGGCCAGGCTCACGGTTGCTCTTGGAGCACCCACTCCCTGCACTCCAGTCTGCTTCCTGCCCCGCCTGGGGCCCCGGCAGCGGGCAGCTGCTGCCTGGCCCCATCTTCTGGCATCAGGCCTGTGCCCACCACCCCTCTTGGTCCTGGTGCAGTGGGGACAGGTCCTCAACACCAGGGGTCTGAGCCCAGGTGCACAGGGTGCTGGGGTGGAGGCCGTCCTTCCGAGTCACCTGGTCCCTGGGCCCCTGGGCACGGCTGCCTCCCGGTGCGGGGGATGGGTTAGGACCCCAGGAAGCCTGGGAGAAAATGCGGTTCCAGGCTGCTGGGAGGGCGGAGGCGTGATGTGGCTGGTGAGCGGGTCCCTGTGGGTGCAGCGTCCCCTGCCTTGGCCTTCTCAGCAGGGCCCCTGGTGGCGACGGCGCCATGGCCTCCCGGGGACTTCGCTGCCCAGAACTTCTCCAGCAGGACCCGCCTGTGTCCCCAGGGATGGGGAGCAGCGCCAGGGAGACCCCTCCCCAGGCGCACCCTGAGGCCCGACGCGACGCCCCGCCCCTCGGCCTGCGTTCTCCGGAGCTGGGGAGGCCCGGCGGGCCATGCAGACCTGCGTGGGCTCTGGAGCCAGCGGGGACTGGGCACGTGGGGGCCGAGGGTGGCCCTGCGGGCCTGTCCGCGGCGCGTGGTCTCAGGGACCTGTGGGCGTGGTCTGGGGTTGGTGGGCGTGGCCTCAGGGCCCTAGAGCGCGGTGTGGGCGTGCTCTTTGCGGCTGGAGGGCGTGGCTTAGTGGTAGGCGTGGACTCGGGAGCCGGTTGGTCGGGGGCGTGGTCCGGGGCGGGACTTAGTGGTGGGCGTGGTCTCGGGGCGGTGGGTCGAGGGCGTGGTCCGGGGTGCTAGGGCGCGGGGGCCAGTCTGGGCTGGGGGCGGCGGGGTGGGGCGGGCTTGGGGGCGAGGTCTGCGGCTAGGGGTACGCGGTGAGCGGGGAGCGGCGCCCGGTCCGAGCGGGGTCCGGCGTGCGGGGTACTCAGTGGTCTGGGCGGGGCGGCCGTCCGGGGTACGCGGCGGTCGGGCGCCAGCGGGCTCAGCCCCCTCTCTCCGCAGGGCAGCCGAGGGCCGGCCGCCCGCCGTGCCTGGTGTGCCAGGGCTCGCCGCCCTCCGGGCGGTGCAAGCGCTGCAGCTCCTTCTGCGCCGCCGTCCTGCGCGGCGCCTCCTTCGTGCCGCTCGGCGGCCGGGCCGGCAGCCCGTGGAGCCCGTGACGAGGACCAGCGCGGACGAGGACGGGACCTCGAAGACGCGAGCCCGGGCCCCGCGGCCTGCAGGCGCGGCTGGCTGCTTTGGAGACCTGCACGTAGAGGAGGGACCTTGTATACAGAGCTATTTTAGAGAAATCGCGCGATCTCACCCTGGTATTTCTTACTGAGCCCTGCCTTCTCCCAGTGCCTGCACCTGTCTGCTGGCAGAGCCCCCGTGCCCCCAGCCCGCACCCTGCCCCCACCCCTGCCCCCACCCCTGCCCTGCCGCGGGTCAGGAGAGCGAGACCCGAGACCCGCAGAGGCCCAGTGCCCCCAGCCCCCACCCTGCCCTCACCCTGCCCCCACCCCTGCCCTGCCGCGGGTTAGGAGAGCGAGACCTGCAGAGGCCCAGTGCCCCCAGCCCTGCCCTGCCGCAGGACAGGAGCAGGTGACACCTGCTGGTACCCTGTGCCCCCCCACCCCACACCTAGCCCCCACCCTGCCCTGCCACAGGACAGGAGAGAGTGAGACCTGCAGACACTCTGTGCCCCCAGCTCGCACCCAGCCCCCACCCCTGCTCTGGCGGCAGGACAGGAGAGGGTGAGACCAGGTGACACCCAGGACACCCCGTGCTCCTGGCAAGGTGACCTTCCTGTCTCCCAGCCAGAGATCCCAGACAGGACGCTCGTCGCTTATTCACTCATTTATTCAACAAGTCTTGCTGTGCTGGTCCAGATTCTTTGCACCCGGTGTCTTCTTCCAGCCTGGAGCTGTGTGGTGGTGGGAGGGGCCCCCCAGGTCGTGCCTCTTGGATCCCATCGAAGTTGGGCTCCTGGGCCTGAGGGTGGTCCGTGGGCCCGGTGGGAGACCCAGGTCTGGGGAGGGTCCCCAAGGCCGCCTTGGTCCCAGGCTGGGTGCTCCCAGTCGCTGGAGCCTAAACAGGACAAGGGCTGCCAAGGGGTCCCTAGGGCCAGGTCTTTGTGGACACTGGGAGGGTCCACATCCCCCAGGCTCAGAAACAGAACAGGGGGCCCCTGGAGATGGGGCAGGGGTCCCAGGGTCTTTCTCTGGGCCTTGAGACCAGCACCAGCCCTTCTCCCCTGTGTAGTCACCTGTGGTTACTTCATTGTGCTGGGATAGCCTCTCTAGGGTGACAGGTGTGTCACCTGGTGGGTGGGCCTGTCCTGGAAAGGGCACAGAGAAGGGCTCAGAGTGGAGTGGCACAGAAGTCGTGTCGGAGACTTCTGCCACGGCACAGCGGTCCCCACTCCTCCCGTTGCTGTAGGAAAGCACTGGTGGCACTTCCCAGAGGCCTCAAGTTGAGGCTGGTGGGTTGAGGCTGAGGTGCCCTGGTGGTCTGTCTCAGGGCCTGGCAAGCCTGGGGCCATGGGTGACCAGAGCCTGGTCTTCCTGGGCCCCCAGCATGCCGGCCTGCTGACGTGCCGTCTGGCGTGGAGGCTGCCTTCAAGTGCCCAGTGCCCAGCGGTGACCAGGGGAGTCCCACCCCACCACGCACTCTGGACCAGGTGGGGAGGGTGGAGGTGCTGGCCCAGGTGGGAGGGAGGCTGGTCAGTGGCTCTGGCACCGGGTGGGAGGAGGACAGGGTCCACGGTCATGGGCAGCTGGTGAGTCCTGCTGGGTTCCATCCCCTGGAGCTGACCCCCCTCGGTGCCTTCCCTAGTTCCCTCCTGACCTGAGTCCGCTAGACCAGGCTCGTGTCCTCCCCCAGCCTGGGGATGGTGCAGCCCTCCGAACTTCAGATGCCTTACTGGGCTTCCAGGCAGAACCCTAGCTCTGCCCAGGACCAGCACACCCCATGGGACCTGGCTCTCCAGCCAGACACCCCTCAATCCCTCCCCCACGTGGGACAGTGCCCTCCCAGGACCAGAAGCAGGTGCAGGGAGCCCCTGTGTTGCTCAGCTGTGGCAGGAAGAGGGCTGGACACAGGCCTGGCTTTCGGGGAGGGAGGAGCCTGGGGTGCCCCAGAAGCACACCCTAGTTCTCTTCTTCCACAGCCTTGCACAGGGGTGGCAGGGCAGCAGGCAGACAGGGTGCAGTGAGCCTCTGCCCAGAAACCTGCCTGTGCACAGGAAGCTTCAAATGAGAAAATGAGCGTGGAGGAATTCCCAGAGCAGACGCTAAGCCTGGAGTAGCCCATGAGTGCTGCCCTGGGGCGGGGAGCCTGGGGGAATGGGGGGAGTCTCAGGACCCAGGAGGGAGCGCTCCCTGGGGCTTGGTATGAAGCCAGCAGGTGCAGATGTGCAGGACGCTTCCTGTCCTCTGCCCAGCCGAGCTCAGCAGGGCCACTGGCTACTGTCCCCTTGGTCAGGACACACACCTGAGTGATGGGGGTGCACACAAGTGGCCCCTTGACCCCACAGGCTCAGAGCCAGCCCTGCTCCACTGGCTAGCCCAGTGGGGAACCCACTTACCTGGGACCGTCAAGGCCTCGAGGTTTCAGGAGACTTCCTCTGGCAGCCTGGAAACCTCGCGTGGTGTGGTCTGGCGGAGTCTGCCAGGCCCTGGGAAGTGGGCAGGTCTGGGGGCTGCCCCCTGGCGGCCTCCCGTAGGCCCTGTCTCACCAGGAGGCGGAGTGTCCCTGCCTGCCTGCTGCAGGGAGCAGCTCCCGTTTGTCTTTGGAGCTGGAGCTGCGGGTGAGCCTGGACGCTTCCATCCGCTCTCAGCCAGATGGGCGCGGGGCCAGCACTCGCCTTCCTCTGCCTGGCCTGGGGCACCTACCCGGGCCTGGCCATCCCCCGGGTCTCGGAATGTGGCCTCTCCTGTTCTCAGGTGAGGCCCTGGTTTCTCCACAGGTGGGCACCAGTGGGACGTGCAGCACACAGACGGGCGAGGGGTGCAGGGGGCCGGGGGAACTGAGGCAGTGGTGGTGACGGGGCTCTGCAGGAACCTGGCAGCCGGGGGTTCCCTGGGAGGTGCATGGCCTGGCCCTCCCGCAGCCCATCCTTCTCAGAGGTCCTGGTGGAAGAGCGGCCTGAGGGCCCCTCTGGGCTGTTTGTGGAACCGCATTGCATCACCAGGGTTGCTGGGCTCTGGGCAGGCATCCGGGCTCGTTTGACTGAGGCTGAGGAAACACTCAGGAAGGAGCTTGTGCCAGCCCTGGGGGGAGCCACAGGGGAGGACTCGAGGTGACAAATGGTGCTGGGACTGGCTGCAGGGCAGGTGACTCAGCCTGCGGGAGAGGTGGCCGTCAGCACCCGGGGCAAGAAGTGTACTGGCACGGCCCAGGAAGTGGTCCCGGTGCCCAAGACGGGCCCAGGCACGGAGGGGACACAGGCAGGGAAAGAACACGGAAGGTGGTAGGGTGTTAGGTACTTATTGAGCACCTGCTGTGTGCACTGTTCCCAGTGCAGGGGATGGCAGGGAGCAAAAGAGCAAGACGTGCCTTTTGGAGGCGATGGCCTGGCCGCCCCGGGACACTTAGGGGACACCCAGACAGCTCCGCAAGCCTGGGAGAGCGTCCGGCCGAGGGCTCGTGTGGCCGGAGTGCGGGGTGGGCTGGTCGGGCTCAGGGCAGGGTGCAGGGCCACAGGGGCACCAGGAGGGACCAGGAAGGGCCAGGCTGGGAGGGGGCCCCTTTGGCTGCAGGTAGCGAGCCGGTGGGCATGGAGGGGACGGGTGGGTCCAGGTGGGCGGGGTGGTGGCCTGGGCCCACCTGCAGTGGAGGTGGGAGGCATCACAGATGAGACCTCAGAGGGCGATCAGCCTCTGGGCTGATGGAGGAGATACTTCCTGAGCAGGGGGGGACCTGGGGCCGGGATCTGAGGAGGAAACTCGACTTTAAATGCAGGTTTTAGAAGCTGTGAGGCTTTGGGGTGTGTGGGCCGCGTGTTTGGGGGTCTATGTTGAGGTGCAATGGGCCTGTCTCACATCCGACAGGACAGAAGGACCAAGGGGCTGGGGACTGAGCCCTCAACTCTCTGAGAAAAGAGGGTGGGAGTGTCCGGGGCGATGGGGGGGCCCAGAGGAAGGAGCTGGGAAGGTCCCCGCACTGCCCCTGCCAGGCCCAGACGTACTTTGAACTCTGTGCCCTGCTGGGGACACTGGGATCCCAGAAGGGGGAGGAGGGGAGAGAGGCTGTGCCTCCCCACGCACCTGCAGCTGGGGCAGGGCAGGGTGGTGGAGGGGTAGGGGTGGGCTGAGTGGGGACTCCCTGCCTCCCTGCGCCGCCACCACGGTCCTGGGCTGGAAATGGCTGTCCTCCCGTCCCCCCACTCCCCTGCTGGCATCTTTCCTCCCCCAGCCCAGCAGCCCTTGGGGGCCCCATGGCACCCCCCACCGTGCCCCGCCTCTGGGAAGCCCCTAGAAATCCGAAGGAAAACCCCGGGGGTGGGGAGGCGGCCGCCACTCCTCTGCCCCTGCAGGTCCCTCTTTCTGCATCCGAGAGCTCCGGGTTCCCGAGGCCACGGGGGACCCTCTCCCGTCTACAAGAGTGCTCGCTAGGGCCGGGCACAGTGGCTCACGCCTGTACTCCTAGCACTCTGGGAGGCCGAGGTGGGAGGATGGCTCAAGGTCAGGACGTCAAAACCAGCCTGAGCAAGAGCAAGACTCCATCTCTACCCAAAATAGAAAGAAATTAATGGGCAAACTAAAAATACGTAGAAAAAACTAGCCAGGCATGGTGGTGCATGCCTGTAGTCCCAGCTACTAGGGAGGCTGAGACAGGAAGATCACTTGAGCCCAGGAGTTTGAGGTTGCTGTGAGCGAGGCTGATGCCATGGCACTCACTCTAGCCTGGGCAACAGAGTGAGACTCTGTCTCAAAAACAAAAAAAGGAGTGGTCGCTAGGGAGCCGGCCCACCTCTCCCTGAGTCCAGGCCACTGGGAGCAGCCGCTCCCCAGACCCTTCCGCCAGAGGGAGCCTGGTCACAAGTCCAGGCCCCTCTGTCTTCAGGCCAAGTGCCCTTCTTTGGACGCTCCCCAGGCAGGTGGAGTTGGGGTGGGACAGGGGTGCACTCAGGGCCGGGTGCGGGGGCTCATGTCAAACCCGGCACCTTGGGAGCCTGGGGCAGGAGGATCGCTTAAGACTAGGAGTTCGAGACCAGCCTGGGCAACACAGACTCTGTCTCTACAAAAGATAGAAAAATTAGCAGGGCGTGGTGGCGCGTGCCTGTAGTCCCAGCTACTCAGGAGGCTGAGGCAGGAGGATCGCTTGGGCCCGGGAGTTGGAGGCTGCTGTGAGCTGTGATGATGTCATTGCTCTCCAGCAGGGGTGACAGAAGGAGACTCTCTCAAAACAAACACACAAACAAACAAACCCAAGAGCGTGATTTGGGGCTTTCCACAAGCCCCATCACCACCTGCTGAAGGATGGAACGGTGGGCGGGGGGCGGCCTGTGGAGGCCGGGGTCCCGGGTCACACTGCCTAGGGGGCAGCTGAGTCCCGGCCTGGGCTTGGCTCTCCCAGGTCCCCGGGAGTGAGGCAGGGCTGGCACAGGCCGGGGGCTCCACCGACCCGCGCTGGGCGGAGGTGGGACGAGGGGTGGGGGCCGCGCTGGCCTCAGCCGCTCACCCTCGCGTTCTGTCCCCAGGGCTTCGCCTGCAAGAGCCGCCCGAACCGTGAGTACAAGAGCACGCCCGCCCCTGGGTGGGGGCGGCTCCATGCTGGTCAGGCACCTGCTGCCCTCCCAGTCTGGCCCACCCGGCTGCGAGGTCCCCTGGGGAGGCAGGTGTGCCCTGCGCCACCCTGGGCAGGGGTCCCCACCATCCCACCGGGGGCCCCAGGCCTCCAGGACTGGCGCACACGGGCAGGGCAGGGCGTGGGCTTGCTGGGGGTGGAAGTCCCTTTGCCGCCCGAGGCCACGTTGCCACGGGGCCCTTCCAGAGCTCACGGCCACGTCACAGCCCCCAGCGCTGCGTGGAAACCCACTTCCTCTTGTCGAACTTTGCTCCCCGAGGCAAAACGACACCCACTGCAGTCTAGAAAACCCAGCTCACTGTCTTTGCGAGCTCTGCGCACGTTCACACCGGGACCACACGGGACACAGGACGCACGCAGAGGGGAGCTGAGGCCCACCCCCACAGCCCCACGCAGAAACAGACACAGTCCGCGTCAGGAAACCTGTGCTCTAAGTGTATTTGTAGGCAGGTATACAGGTGGTGGGATAAACAGATAAGAATTATTTTATAGAAATGAAATTACCAGGCTGGGCGGGGTAGCTCATGCCTGTGACCCCAGCACTCTGGGAAGCCGAGGCAGGAGGATCACTCGAGGTCAGGATTTTGAGACCAGCCTGAGCAAGAGCGAGACCCCGTCTCTACCAAAAAATAGAAAAAATTAGCCGGGCATGGTGGCGCATGCCTGTAGTCCCAGCTACTCGGGAGGCTGAGGCAGGAAGATCGCCTGAGCCCTGAGTTTGAGGTTGCTGTGAGCGAGGCTGATGCCACGACACTCTAGCCCAGGCAACAGAGTGACACTCTGACTGAAAATAAAATAAAAAAGATGGAATCGAGCCTGGGTCCCCCTTCCTCTCTGGGCGATGAACCCCTGGATGCGGAGACTGCTCACAAATCCTCCCAGCTGGGAAGTGGCAAAGAGGGACAGAAGTAGCCAAGCCACGTTCCACATGCCCTGGCGAGCTGAGCCGCAGTGAGTGACAGCTGACAGCCATGGACGGACTGGGACGGCTGTGGCTCCTGCAGGGGCGTCCAGCACCCGCCGGGGCCTGCTGCAGATTTGCCAGAAGTGGGGTGAGGGGGGGCTCCTGCCAAAACGCACCACGGGGGGTGGGGGGTCCCCCGGGGTCCAGCCGGGGACACCAGGTGTCAGAGAGGGAAGGAGGAGGAGGACCTGTGGGCCCAACGCCAGGCTTTAAACCTGAGTCAGACTGGATGGTAGCGTCCGGACAGGCACGTTTGGGTGAAAAAAAAAAAAACACAGAGGAATGACTACCATGGAAGTCAGGACCGGGGCTCCTCCCAAGGCTGGGTTAGTGGCCGCCTCGGCGTGGACAGGCCGGGGTCGGGGGTCGGGGTTTGCTTTATCTCAGTTCACTGGGCCGTTTCTGTGGTGTGACCTGCGCCTGTGTTCCCTTTCTACAATAAAAAGGTTGTTAAAGGGGCTTTTCATTCTATACTTTCACTCTTTAGTATGAATTTTTTTTTTTTTTTTTTACAGTATAATCCTGTTGCTCAGGCTAGAGTCAGTGTCGTGGTGTCAGCCTAGCTCACAGCAACCTCAATCTCCTGGGCTCAAGCAATCCTCCTGCCTCAGCCTCCCAAGCTGGGACTACAGGCATGCGCCACCATGCCCAGCTAATTTTTTTCTATATATTTTTAGTTGGTCAATTACTTGCTATTTTTAGTAGAGACGGGGGGGGTAAAAGACGGGGTCTCGCCCCGACTGAGTCTGGTCTTGAACTCCTGGCCTCACGTGAGCCTCCCGCCTCGGCCTCCCAGAGTGCTAGGATTACAGGTGTGAGCCACTGTGCCCGGCCCAGTATGAAATTTTGATTGTCAAGTTTCCTGAAAATTTCAGCAGGCATTTTGATGGGGATTATATTGAATTTATTGACCGATTTGGGGCAGAAATGAGATCTTATCAGAGCTGGGTCTTCCAGCTTTTCCGTTTATTCAGGTTTTCCTCAAAGCACTTACTCTTGCTCTTCATTCAGAGGGTAAAGGACACAGAGATGAGTTTTCGTCAGGAATAGATGTTGGATTTTGTCAAACAATTTTTCTGTGACTATTGGGAGGAGCTTAAGAGTTTTTCCTTAGTTTGTTAACATAGTGAATCACAGAGATTGACTTTGTGATGTCAAGCCCGCCCTGCCTTCAGGGGACGGGCTATAACTGGGTCACCATGCCGTCCTGTCTTTGTGCTGTGGGTTCGATTTGCTGAGTTTGCGCCGAGTGTTTACAATCATGAGCTTAGGCCGGGCGCGGTGGCTCACACCTGTAATCCTAGCTCTTTGGGAGGCCTAGGCGGGCAGATTGCTTGAGGTCAGGAGTTCGAAACCAGCCTGAGCAAGAGCGAGACCCTGTCTCTACTACAAATAGAAAGAAATTAATTGGCCAACTAATATATATAGAAAAAATGAGCCAGGCATGGTGGCGCATGCCTATAGTCCCAGCTACTTGGGAGGCTGAGGCAGAAGGATCGCTTGAGCCCAGGAGTTTGAGGTTGCTGTGAGGTAGGCTGACGCCACGACACTCACTCTAGCCTAGGCAACAAAGCGAGACTCTGTCTCAAAAAAAAAAAACAATCATGAGCTTGTCTTCTCGTAACGCCTGTCAGGTTTCAGAATCAAGGAACGAATTCCAAAGTCTCCCCTCATCTTCAATTTTCCGGAAGAGTCTGTAGATCTGCCGTTGTTTCTTTCTTAAATATTTGGCTTCTCTGGTTTTCCCTGTTGCTTCCTGTTTTCCATCTCACTGGTTCCACTCTGACATTTTCCCTTTCCTTTTTCCTGCTTGCGTTGGGTTTCACTTGCTCTTCTTGCTCTAGTTCCTTACAGGGCAGCTGAGGTCACCCATGTGAGATCTTTCTCTTCTAATTTGGGAGTTTAGTGCTACAGATTCCTCCCTCCTAAACACTGCTTTGGAAGCATCCCAGATTTTTTTTATATATTGTCTTTTCCTTTACATTCAAAGTAGTTGCTAATTTTTCTCTTTGACCCATGGGTTATTTAGAAATGTTATCAGTTTCCAAATGTTGGGGGGTTTTCCAGAAATGTTTTTTTTTTATTAATGTCTAATTTAATTCCATTTTGGTCAGGGAAGATGATTTGTATGATTTGAATCCTGTTAAATTTATTTGGACTGTCTTATGGATCAGAATACAGTCTCTCTTGGGAAACATTCCACATGAACATGGACAGAACAGAGTTGCTGCGTTGGGTTGGGGTGTTCTATGGATGTCGGCTAAGTCGGTTCTTTCTGATTTTCTGCTCATTTCTTCTGTATAGAGAGAATATTGAAATCTCAACAGTGGTTGTGGATTTATCTTTTTCTCTTGTAGTTTTTTCAGTTTTGTGTCATGTGTTTTGAAACCCTGTTAAGTGCACACAAGAGTGGTTAGTGCTATCGTGTCTTCCTGACATAACGCTCCGGTGTTATTACAGAATGACTGTCACTGTCCTTGGCAATATTCCTGGCCACGAAATCTCCGCTGTCTGGTACTAATCCCCACTCCTGCTTTCTGTAGATTAGTGTCACCACATTGTGTTTTTTCCCATCTGCGCATGTCTACTTTTAACCTGTTCATATCAGGCTGGGGTGAGGTGGCTCACACCTGTAAGCCCAGCACTCTGGGAGGCCGAGGCGGGAGGCTCACGTGAGGCCAGGAGTTCAAGACCAGACTCAGTCGGGGCGAGACCCCGTCTTTTATATAAAAATAAATTAATTAATTAAAACGGCCTATTTGTGTCTTTATATTTAAAGTGTGTTTCTTAGAGGCAGAACATAGTTGTGTCTTGCTGCAAGCTGCCAGTTCCCAGCTCCACCAGGGCTCCCCTCCCGCCTGTGGCCCGGCCTGGGTGCTCACAGGGCTCCCTTGCACCTGTCCTCTCCGCTGTCTTGAAACTGTGCACTTTGTCCCCGTTTCCTGGCCGTCTCAAGCAGGAGGGTGAATGTGGCTCCATGACATCCTGGCCACAGTGGGAATTCGTAGGTGTTGGATTTCTTTCCCATGAGTGGGTCAGACCTCTCAGTCCCACCGCCCCTTCGAGCCCTGGGGACCTCCAGCCCGAGTGCCTCTTGCAAACCAAGCCGGCCGAGGGCGGCCGGTGCTGCCCAGCCCAGCGCCCACAGCGAGTCTCCACTCCAGCTTGCCCATGCCAGGCCCCACTGCCCCACGTGGCGTTTGGCCCGCCGGGGTAGCCCCACGCCCTGAGCAAGGCCCCCAGGGCAAGCCCTACCTGTGAGGACACAGCCAAGTGCCTGAGCACAGAGCCCCGGGCTGCAGGCCCTCACGGCCACGGACACGTTGTCCCTGGCCGGCCCGTGTTGGCCTTTCCTGCGGTTTGTCTTTGGGCAGTGGCTTGCCAGTGAGTCAGAGGCGGGCTCCTCTGCCCCCGCGCTGGCCAGGTGGGGCAGCGGCTTGCCCGGCTCAGAGACAGAAAGGTGGGCAGCCTGCTCCCCAGCCTGGCCCCACTCCAGTGGTCCCACAGACATTTCCAGGGGCTCGGGGGTGGGGGGCTGGCTTCCCGCTTGTGCTGGGGGTGCAGCCCCAGGACCCTCCCCTGTCACTGGACCACCCACAAAGCCCTTCCCAGGCACCTGGAACCCTGAGGCCTCACCCTCCTTCCCCCACCCCCCAGGGGACGTTTTTAACAGCTTCTGCCGGCCGCGCCCCAAGTCCATGCCCATGTCGGTCCTGGAGACCCTGACACTGTCCACCGCCATGAAGTGCACCCCCCAGGACGGCTGCTCCTTACTCCTGCGTGTTGGCGCCTCTGTGACAATGCATGGTGAGTGGTGGCCTGGAGGGGTGGCCGGCCCAGACTGGGATGACTGGTGGGAGTGGGGCCGGGAGGGCTGCAGGGGGCTCGGGGCTCCCTCAGTCCCAGCCAAGACCTGGGTGCTGTGGGGACGCACTTCACAGGGAGGAGGCCAAGGAGAAGAGATTACCACGGGGTGGGGGAAGCCCTGCCCTGAGCGCCCTGCGGCCTGCCCTCCCCAGAGCGCCTGCGGGGCCTGGAGGCCTGCGCCACCAGCCTGCACACCCAGCAGACGCAGTGTCAGAGCGTTCACCTGCCTCGGGCCTCCCACCGGCTGCAGGTGGGGCAGCAGGTGAGGCCAGAGCCCGACCCAGACCCAGACCTGCTGGCCCATGCTGGGCTCAGCCACCTAAGTCCTGAGGAATGGGCACCCCGTCCTCCCAGGCCCCAGCCCTGGACGCCAGCCATGCAGGCAGAGCTGGGCGGGGCGGCTGGGCAGTGGCCTCTGGGTCCACCCCGCTCACACCTGCACCTGCCCAGTTCCAGGTGCACTTCAGCTGCTTCGAGGTGAGTGTGGCCCAACACCTCTATGTCACCCTGAGGACCGTCCCCCACTTCTGCGGGGTCCAGCTCCACCGGCAGTACCACGTGGAAGGTGGGTCCCGACTTCCGGCCTGGGCACAGCTGCCCGCTGGCCTCTAGGGACTGGACGGGCCTGGGGTGGGACTCACCCACGGCAGGGGCAGGCCCCCATGCTGGACAGCTCCCCACAAGGCTTTTGGCTTAACTGGGGGTCACAAGGACAGAGGCCCAGCTGGGGGGATGGCCCCCGGGGCAGGGGGACCAGGCCCACCACCGCCTCTGGCATTTGCAGACTGCACAGAGGAGGACGTGGGCAGGAACATGCCGGACTGTTTCGGTGAGTCGCCCTCCTGCGTGGGCCACACCTGCCCCGGGAAGACCCCCAGGCTCCGCCTCTCCCTCTGGGGTCTTCTGGCACTTGGGGAATCCTGATGGGGCCCCAGGTGGACGCCTCCCAACCGCCTGAACCAAGCAGAGGTCGCCCTGTCAGGCTCCTGGACAGACGGAGCCCGCGTTGGCGACCGCTGGTCCCAGCGTGGTCCGCACTTGCCACCTCCTGCAGCGGGGAAGCTCAGCTACCGGGTGGACCACAGGCGCAAGGCCATCCTGGTGCAGGTGCCCGAGCGCCCCGGGAGCCTCGACTACTACGTGCGACTCTGCCTCCAGCGGTTCACCTGCGAGGACGCGGGCGCCCCGGTGCAGGTGAGCCCGCGCCCCGCCCCCTGTGCCAGGACCCCGCCCCCATGTCAGGCCCAGGGCCCCGCCCCCCGCGGCTCCTTCCTCCCTCCCCCATGTCAGGCTCTGGGCCCCGCCCCCCATGCCTCCTTCCTCCCGCCCCCCACGCACCCACCCCCTCGACAGGCCGGGTGCCCTCTGCCTCCCAAAGCCCCCGCCCACACCTCGTGCCCCTGCCCTGCCCCGTCCGCAGGCCAGTCCCCCCCGCCCGGCACCACCAGACGCGGCCCCCCTCAGCCGGGTCTCCTGCAGGTGACCGCCAACAGTGCGTCGCGGACAGTGTCCCTGCCCTACAGCCAGGCGCTGCCGTGCCTCTGCCTGGAGGTCAGTGACGGTGTGGCCTCGACGGTGGGGGGGGCGGGGGGGAGGAGGGGAATGGGGGGGAGCCCGCGCTGACCCCAGCCCTCCCGCAGGGCTGGCCTGCGACCCCCGACGCCGTGCGGATCCAGAGGTGCCCTTTTGAAGCCGGCAAGTGTCCTGAGGTGCCCGGGGTGGGGGTGGGGGGGCCGCGAGAGGGGCGGGGCCGCGTGGCGCCCGAGGGGACAGAGGCTGTGCGTGGAAGTGGGTGTGCGCGTGTGCATGTGTACACGCATGTGCGTGTGTGCACGTGTGCATGCGTGTGCGCTATACATGTGTGTGTGCATGTGTGCACGTGTGTGCGCGTGTGCATGTGTATGTGCACTTGTGGTGGCCCGACCACCCGAACAGCCACATCTGTGGAGGGGGCTCCCCGGGGGCGCAGGAGGGATGCCCTGTGCTGGGCTCTGCTGAGTGACACGCACCGCCACGTGACACGCACCGGGACACGACATGCACCACCACGTGTGTGCAGAGACTCGGGCCAGGGCTCTGAGACCCGCAGGACAACTGCTCCTGACCTCTGGCCCGATGGTCACTCCAGCGGGTCCCCGCGGGCGCGCTGGCAGCCACGGCCCGGCTGACCTGTGTCCGTGGGGGGGGGGTCCCTGCAGACACAGAGGCGCTGTGGGACGCCATCCAGTACCACCCTGGGAGCCAGGCGCTGAGCTGGGAGCCCGCCTGCCCTGTGAGCGGTCGCGTGAGCCTGTGCTGGCGCCCAGGACCCAGGGACCCCTGCCAGGAGCTGCAGCACTCCAGCCGCCCGGCACAGGGCAAAGTGAGTGTCCCCCGCGGGGGTAGGGGAGGGTGTGGACAGCCACGGCCCTGACCGGAGCCCCCGCAGGTGCTGTACCCGCTGGTGGACACCCAGCCCCAGCTCTGCCTGAAGGTGAGTGGTGGGTGCAGCCCGCCCCGGGCACTGCCCACGCTCGGGGAAGGAGCAAGGGTAAGGAGGCACGCAGGGGGCAAGCAGGTGGGGGGGGCCTTGCCTCCCAGCTGCCCCCTGACCCCTCCTCGACTGACGGCTGCAAGCTGAGGGCCCACGGAACCGTAAAGTCCGCCCAGCGAGTCCCAGCCCCAGTCCCCCACACACCTGTGCCCCTAACCCCTCTTTGCAGTTCTCCACCAACCTGGGGTTCCAGGTGAGGTGCCCTTTCCAACAACGTCGCTTCCCAGGTGAGCGCTCCTGGGGGAAGGGGTGGACTGTTCGGGAGGAGGGGTGGGGTGCAGCAAATAGCACCCTTTGCTTCCCTGCTGCGTGTTGGGCAGGACGGCAGGACCCCAGGGCCAGCGAGGCCCCAGTGGGATGGGGCAGGTGGAGTGGGTGGGTCAGGGGGGCAGGGGGAGAGGAAGGGAGGTGGGTGGGGTGCTGGGCCAGTGAGGACCCCGCCCTTCCTCCACAGCCTGGAAGATGGCCGTGCAGCCAGGGCCACAGCACGGCCTCCTGCGGGCCGCCTTCTTCTCGCCCGGCCCCGCCCACTTCCAGGTGCGCCTGTGTCACCGAGGGAAGTTGCAGCTGCCCACCTGCCAACAAGCGCTGCCCGCCAGCCCCCTCCCTCCCACCTCAGTGAGCTGGGTCAGGGGCACCGCCCTGGGGAGGGGGCAGGACCCCATCACTCCCCTACAATGTTCCCAGGACCCCACCCGGGCCCTGAGGGGTCTGGCCAGGGTCTGGCCCACCTGGCGGGGAGGGGTGGGAGTGCCAGGGTGGAGGGGTGGGGGAATAAGGACACAGTGTGGCCTGTGTAAAGTTTTCAGTGGCGAAAGAAGCAGACAGGGAGAGAGAGTGGGGCCAAACCACGTGGCTTTATTATCCGCTCCCGGGCGAGGTTCACGGGTCCCTAGAGAGGGGCCCGTCCATTTGGAGAAGATGTGGCCTTTGTACTGTTTGGGGTGGGCTAGGTACTTTTGGCGGGAAGAGCTGGGGTGACCTTTGGTGGTCATTGAGAAGTAGGAGGGGCTGGCGGTATTTGCGGAATCCAGGAACCAAAACCTTTCTTATCTGGCCGGACATCCAGGTGTTGTTCTCAGCGGGGCCTGGCAGTTTGTCCTTGGTGGGTCTGGTCTCGTGAGCCTTTTCTTTTTTGATCTCAGCCTGCTCAGCCCTCCCCATTGCCTGTCACCTGTCCTCCCAGGTCCAGGGTGACCCCACGGCCCACTCGGCAGTTGCCTTCCTGGACTTGCCCTGGGAAGAGGCCTGTGCCCCAGGCATCTGCATCCAGGTGGGTGTCGCTGCCCGCCAGCCCCCCAGCCCCGCCCGCCCCGCCAGCCTCACCCACACCCAAACCTCCAGCCTCTCCAGCCCACCCCAGCTGCCTGTGCCCGCAGGGCTTGAGGACGGACGTGCACTTCTCCATCCCGCAGCAGCTGTGCAGCCTCCCGTGCAGTGAGTGCCGGCAGCTGGGGTGGGGTGGGGGCTGGACCTAGGCGCGCCCTGCCTCCCACCGTGGGCTGGGTGGGCTGCACCGCTCAGGGGACTCGGGGGAGGAGGGCAGAGGGCCACCCTGCCAGGAGTCAGGCCAGGCTGCTGGGCCAAGGTGGAGGCTGCCCCTGCCCTGCAGCCTCACCGTCCCTCTCACCCCCCCATCCTCCCTGCCTTGCTCTGCCAGCGGCTTCCTCCTCCCCAGGTGTCCACCTCCCCTGACCAGGGCTCTGGTTCCCGCTGCCCAGCGACTTGGGATGTCCCTCGGCTCTCCCAGCCACTGAGGCCCAGGCTCCTGGGACCAAGGGCTCACCAGGAGAGGACTGCGCTAGTGGACAGAGCTAACCACATGGGGCCTGGCTGAGGGGTGTGGCCTTAGGTCCCCATTCTGGAGCACTTCACCTGCAAGCCCAAAAGCTCACCTGGCTTGGGGCGGAGGGTGAACTGCAAGAGCCAGGGAGGGGGCAGAGGTGGGAGGGCGGGTGAGGCCAGTGTGCAGGCACCCAGGGCTGCTGAGACCCTCCCCAGGCAGCACCAACAGGCCAGGCCAGGTGCAGTAATGCCGCCCAGCTCCTCGGAGCCACAGCAGTTGCAGGGTGGCCTGCACCCCGCCACACACAAGGACCCGCCTGGCCTGTCCAGCCCTCCTCCAGCAAGGCTGTTGGCCAAGTCTGAGTCCTATTCCCCGGCAAGGCTCACCTCCAGCAGATCGTGGCCAAAGGGCCAGTGGCCACCCCGGGACCCAGCATGTGGGTGTGAGCTCACCTCCTGCTGGTCAGGTGGCCCCAGCCACTGCCAGAGCCCCAGCACCACACTGGGCCAGTCCCAGGGTCCCAGGGACAGGCCTGAGGGGCAGTAGGAGGGAGGGGCCTGGTCCCACCCAGGTTGGAGACATTGGGGGGCATGCCTGCCACCTTGGGGTCCAAGTGGCTCCTCTTCTGCTGGCCCTCAGGAGCCTCTCTGGAGAGGGGACAGCTGCCTGCTGTCTCAGGCACCCACTCTCCAGGCCTGGGTGGCCTGGGTGGCCCGGGTGGTGGGGCCTGCAGAGCCCCAGGTGTTTGTGGGTACAGCTCTATCTCTTGGCACAGTGGGCAGGGCTGGGGGAGGGCATGCCCCAGACAAGGTTTGTGCTGGCAGCAGCCCCCCACCTCTCTCCCCAGCTCCCCCCCACCCCCCGTGGGACAGTGGCCTGAGGCCCAACGTCTCATCAAGAACAAGCAGGTGCCGACCACACTGTGGGCTGGGGCTGGATCCCACCACCTGGACAGCTAAGGCCAGGCCCCCACCTCCTCATAACCTGGCAGCCCTTTCCTGAACCTCCACCATCCCATGGAGGACTCCGCTGAGGATCTCGGGTGCTGAGGGCCACCTGGGGCACCCCCTCACCTGGCCCCTCCCCAGGGGCCAGGCAGGACTTCCCATCAAGCAGGAGGTGGTCAGCTTCCTGTGGCCCCAGGGAGCCACCTGCCTGGGCCACCTGCTGGGACGTTGCATCCTCAGACGTTTGCTCTCACTGAGGCGGCTGAGCGCGGTCCTCGCTGAGGGACCACAGAGGCCCCTCGGCCCTGCAGTGGGGCTACACCGGCACCGGCAGGGCCCCCCATGTCCCTGTGTGCCTGCCCTCCCAGAGCTCGCTCGCTTCACAGGACCCCCCAGCTGCCCTTCCTGACTGCTGAGCACCCCGGGCCGCCCCCGCAGTGGGCACCTGCTATCCCCAGCGCACCTGTGATCAGCTGACCACGGGCCAGCCCGTCTTCCTGCTCCTCCTGCAATAGGGGGGCTGCTGCCCCCGGCAGACTGGGGGCGCAGAGCCACGTGTCCCCTGCACTCAGTAAACACCACTGCCTCTCCCACCGCTGCTTGAGGACAGAGCTCTTGGTCTTGGGGCGGGGGGGCAGTATTGGGGAACCCAGGGCTACCTGTTAAAGTGGGCCCGGGCCTGGCGGCAGGGCCAGCACTGTGGTGACAGCCACCAGGGACAAAGCTGGACGGTGGACACGGTAGAGCCTGCCCCCGACCAGGCTGGACCCGAGAACAGCCCTCAAGGCTGGGGGAGCCAACGCCCCTGACGCCTGCCCCAACGTGGGGTGTGTGGAAGGTGTGGTGGGTGGGGGTCTGGGTCTGCCCTGGGCCAGGGGGTACCTTGGGACTCAGCTGCAGGAGGGCAGGGTCCCCGGAGCAGACTTCGGGTCGGCTGGGGTCAGTGTCACGGGGTGCGACCAGACATCCCGTGCACGCGTGCCCCAGGGTGTGGGCACCAGGGCAGGTAGGGGTTCAGAAGGCCAGGTTTGGGCCGGGCAAGGTGGCTCATGCCTGTTACCCTAGCACTCTGGGAGGCTGAAGCAGGAGGATCGCTCAAGGTCAGGAATTCAAGACCAGCCTGAGCAAGAGCAAGACCCCGTCTCTACTAAAAACAGAAAGAAATTATCTGGACAACTAAAAGTGTATAGAAAAAATTAGCTGGGCATGATGGTGCATGCCTGTATTCCCAGCTACTTGGGAGGCTGAGGGAGGAGGATCGCCTGAGCCCAGGAGTCTGAGGTTGCTGTGAGCTAGGCTGACGCTACAGCACTACAGCCTGAGCAACAGGAGGTGGACTCTGTTCTCAACAAAGGAAGGAAGGGAGGGAGAGAGTGGAGGGAGGAGGGAGGAGGGAGGAGGGAGAGGAGGGAGGGAGGGAGGGAGGAAGGAAGGAAGGAAGGAAGGAAGGAAGGAAGGAAGGAAGGAAGGAAGGAAGGAAGGAAGGAAGGAAGGAAGGAAGATCAGAGCCGGTTGGAGGGGAAGAGGGTGGTAACAGGGGCAGAGTAGTGGGTGGGTCTCATGGGGGGACATCTAGACAGAGACATGAAGCAGGCAAGGGAGTGAGTGAACAGAATTAAGAACAGTGTCCCCTGCCAAGGCAGCAAACCCTCTGCACAACGGTAGAAAAGAATCACACAGTTTTATTGTTGAATGAGCATTAAGCTAGACGGCAGTGAGCATCATGGGCAGTCTCCGTGGAAACTGCAGAGACAGAGAGCAATCTCGCCTGCTCCTGTCACCTGCACGATCTCAAAAGAAAGGGTAACTCGCCTTCAAGAGCACTTGACGTGAAGCCTATTTTGTCTGATGATACTATGGTCACGCCAGTGGTCTTTGGGCCACTATTTGCATGAAATATCTTACTCCATGCTTTTATTTTTAGCCCCTTTGTGTCTTTGCATCTAAAACGAGTCTCTTGCGCACAGCGTATATAAGGATAATGTTTTTATATGCAGTCTGCCAATCTCAGCCTTTTAATTGGAGAGTTTGACCCATTTACATTTAAAGCAATTACTGACAAGGAAGGACTTCGGCCATTTAGCCATTTGCTTTCTACAGGTCATGTGGTTAGTTCTCCTGAATTCCTCTGTTACTGCTTTGTTTGATAATTTTGTTTATTTTTTATAGTGTGCTATTTTTATTCTTTTCTTTCCTTTTCGGTACATTTTCCCATTATTTCTTAACGGTTACCTTGGGTGTTACAATTAAAATCTTAAAAGAATCTAGTTTGAAATTGTAGCAGCTATACTTAATAATATAATAACTTCGACTCAAACGGTACAAAAGCAATTTATGTAACCGAAACGCTTATATGCCCATAATATTCTGAAATAAAAAAAAAAGAAATGGTACCAACTCAGTCTCAGTGCTATGCTCTCTGCTCTTACAGGTCCCCCTCCCCCATTGTTACTCTTGCAGATACATCTTTATAAACTGTGTGCCCCTTACCCTAGATTTACATTTATTGTTTTATGAATTTGCCTTTTGAGTCATATGGGAAAAACAGGAATTACAAACCAAAACCACAGTAACACTGGATTCTGTATTTTCGCATGCAGTTACCTTTATTCGTGTTCTTTACCTCATCACACACGGCTTTGAGTTACGGCCTGAAGTCCTGGCCTTTCAGCCAGAGGACCCACTCCCTTTAGCATTTCTAGTACGGTGTTTCCGTACTAGAATAATAAGACAGGGTCTTGTATTTATTTTTCCTTAAGAAGACACCCTAGGGCTTATTTTCAGGGGATGTGCTATTTTTTTTAAGTATGGTGCAACCATCTACATTTATTCAAATGTAGTGAAGTCGTCTTCTTCTGGAACATCATCCTAACTCTCCAAACCCTGAATTCCATCCTGAATGTCTTGCGACTCTATTTCCTTTAGAACCGTTGGCCCCGATCTCTCCTGTTGAGCCACAGAGCTCTCACGGGGCAGATGAGAAGGGCTGCCCATCTTCTTTCCCGCTCCACAATGAAATGCACGGGTTGTGCAGATGTGCTGCGTAGCCACGCCCATCACTAGGGCTGATTTTTGGGGTGGGGCTTCTATTGTGCAAATGCTTAGAATCCTGCTAGGGCTTGTTTTATGGGTAGGTCTTATTTTCGGGGAAACACAGTAGTGCAGTTCTGCTAACAATGAACTCCAGAGCTTTCATTTATCTGGAAATATCTTAATTTCTCCTTGAATGTAGACTTCTTGGTTGACAAGGGTTTTTTTTCTTTCTCTTTCTCTTTCTCTTTCTCTTTCTCTTTCTCTTTCTCTTTTTCTTTCTCTTTCTTTTTCTTTGGACTCTCCTTGTGGCTCGCCCCTGCCTCTGGTCTCCAAGGCTCTGCTGAGAAACTGCTGAAGTCTCTGAGGAGCCTGTGGGTGTCTGGTTCCTCCTCCTGGCTGCCTTCTTTGTCTTCGCCTCTTGACGTCTGGCAATAATGTTTCTCAGTGTGGATTTCTTTGACTTTATCTTGCTCGGAGGTTCTTCGGTATGTAGGTTCATGTATTTCATCAAAGTTGGGGGGTTGAGGATATTATTCCTTCAAATGCCTTTTCCACTCCCTCTGCCTTTTGCGATTCCCATGGCACGGATGTTGCATGCTTGACGGTTTCCCGCATGTTCCTCAGGCTATTCTATTTTTCTGTTTGCTCTTTAGATAATTCTAATTACCTCATCTTCAAGGTGTCTGGCCCCTTCTCAGATCTGACATTGAAGCCCTTAGTGAATTCTTCTTTTCGGCTATTGTGCTTGTCAGCTCCATATTTTCTGTTTGGTTCCTTTTTGTAATTTATGTATCTCTGTTGAATTAGCTTTTATTCACACCTGTTCTACTGATGCCCTCTAGCTGTGTTAGCTCTGGGACCGTATTCCCTTTGGCTTACTGAACATGTTGAAGGTAGTGGATTTAACTTTTTTTTTTCCTAGAAATTCCAATGTCTGGACATCTTCAGAGATGGTTTCTATGAGGTTCTTTTTTTCCTCTGTGAATGTGCCATATTTTTCTGTTTCTTCGTATGCTTTGTAATTTTGTGTTCAAACCTGGACATTTTGAGTATCTAATGTGGTAACTCTGGAAAGCAGATTCTCCCCTCCTCACAAATTGGTGATTTTTTTTGTTGTTGCTTTTGCTTGTTGAGGGATACAATGGTCCATTCATTTAGTGACTTTTCCAAACTGTTTTTGCAAAGCCTGTATTCCTTGTTATGTATAATCACTGAAGTTTCTCTCTCATTATCTCTGCAGTCAGCCAGTGATTTTTTTTGAACAAGAGTCTTCGCTCTTCCCTCACCGCTCCACTGGCAGCCCTCCAACTCCTGGGCTCAAGGCGTCGCTCCTGCTCAGCCTCCTGAATAGCTAGGATACAGGCGATGCGCCAACCGACCGCGGGCTAATTATTTCTATTTTTAGTGGATGGTTGTCTCATTTGTTTTGCTCCCAGGCTGCCTTAAACTCCCCTGCCTCAAGTAATCTCCTTCTTAGGCTCTCCAGATGCTAGGATACAGGAATGAACCACCAACACCCAGGCAAAACAAACAAACAAAGTATGTCTCTTTAAATATTCCTAATATATGCCACATTGAGGAACTAAAACAAGAAGGAGCAAACTAAATCCAATCTAGCAGGAGGAAATGAATAATAAAGATTAGTGTGGAGACAAATGACCATAGAGAATATTAACAAACTCCAAGTTAGTTCATTGAGAATACTAAAAAAAATTGATAAACCATTAGCTAGATTAACTAAGAAACTAAAATTACTAAGATCCAAGTGAGATAGGGACATACTACTGATTTATGGAAATGAAAGGATTATACAGAGAATACTATAAAGCAACAAATTGGATAATCTAAACGAAATGGACA